GCCGGGCTCTCGTCCCTCCCGCCGCGGCCGCCAGCGCCGCCGGCACCATGGGCTGCTGCTGCCGCCGCCTGCTCTTCCTCGCCCTCCTCCTCCTCCCGGCAGGTAAGCGCCCAGGGCAGGGGGGCACGGCGGGGAGCGATGGCCGGGGACAGCCCCGGTGCCTCCCGGAGAGGGGCTCGGCCCCGCCGCGGGTCCCGCTCGCCCCCCCGGAGGGGTCACCCCCAATGACAGGAGGTGTCCCACGCGGCTTCTCCTCGTCCCCGGCAGAGCCCCCGGCTGCCGGGAGCGGGGAGACTCGGTGGGAGCAGCGGTGGGAGCAGCCCCGCAGCCCCTTCCCCGCCGGCACCGCTCCCGGGGAGCTTTTAGGGCTCCCCCCGGCCTGGAGCCGCGGCTCGCACCCCCCCAGCCCCCCGCATCTCCCCCCGGCGTCACCGGCCTCCCCATCCCACAGAAACGCCCCGTGGAACATCTTCCCCCTCCCAGACGCTCGGCGGGGACAGTTCTGTCCCCGGTGATGCGACAGCGAGCGCAGGTCACCCCTCCGCCCGCCAGGCTGGGCTTGCAGCAAGCAGAGGAGCTGCCTGCTCGGGAGCGTGGAAAGCACGCTTGCATAACCGGGCTGTCGCTGTCACAGCTCCCGGGGCCGCAGGGGGACAGGTCACACCCGCGGGACCCCCAGCCATCGCCCCGGAGCCCGCCTTCTTCCTGGACCGGGGAGAGCCGCGTGAATAATTCTGAATAATTCTCCGTGTGAAACGGGGGATCTGCCGGCGGGCGCCTGAGCGGGAGGGATGGGGGTGAGCGCTGGGGTGCTGGGGATGCTCGTTCTCCTCCCTCCCCGGCCCAAACGTGCCCCCGAAGCAGGCGGTCTGTGCCGGCACTCAGCCTCGGGGTCGGGAGGCGGGTTTTTCCCAGCGCCCGGGCCAAGCCCAAAGCTGTTCCCACGACCATCCCTCTCCACAGCACCAACGCCAGCCAGGCTTGGCAGCAGGAACAGAAAAGATTTCCCTGGACCCTGGTCCCACGTCCCTCAGGCTGCTCCCAAACGGCCCTGGAGCATCTTTCAGATCCTTTCTGCAACATTTCTGCCCCCACTGAAATAATTTATTTAAAGAAGGAAAAAAAAGAAAAAAATTAAAAAAAAAGAAGAAGAAGCGTGTTTACATAAATATCTCTCACTTGGGAGGAAACATCAAGCAGGATTTAAATTTGCTTCGAGCTCATTCTTCAGGGCTAAATGACAGCGAGGACGTCACTGGCCAGGAGTAAAATAAGCCTGGGCTTTGCCTGGCCGCGTAATGAAGCAGCAGCGTCTCGCACAAGGAAGTTTTTATCCTGCTATGACTCCTCACTCTGGATGTAAATTGAAACCTGTTTTGCTTTCCTGACCTGTGCCCAGCCCCAGGCCCGCTCTCCCCTTCTGCAATTCCCCCTGTGCCCCAGCTGAGACATTTTGAAGTACCTTTTAGGAGGAGATTTAAAGCCTTTAAGGTTTTGAGAGCTTCTTCGTGCAGGCTCTGGGCTGGAAGAGCTGCTTTTTGGGCTCTCGGAGCCTCGTGGGCTGATTTATTCTGCCTTTGAGGAGGCAAACCCTTGAGCACTCTGCTCCCCCACGAGCTGAAGGGCAGGGGGGCTGGGTAATCACCCCCTCTGCCAGCCCAAACCAGCAATCAGCCTCTAATACCAGGGGATGCTCCCAAATTCCTCTGCCAAACCCAGCTGCTTCTCCCCGGGGAGGGGCTGGGATCGTGTTGGAAGCTGCACCTGGAAGCACTAATTAGCAGCCAGCCAGGAAAATTGTGGAGCTGGGGAGTTGTCACCTGGGCAGAGCTGCTTCTTGCAAAACTGCTGGCTGGCTCCAGAGCCGTATCCAAGACATGTGCCTGGGAAAAATAATATTGTGAGGCGTCCCAAGCAGGCAGGTCCACCTGCAGCTCCCAGCCCCAGGAGACAGCAGGGAGCATCCCCTGGGACCCCTCAATTCCCCTTCCCCAGGGAAATCAGCACAGCACAACACCTGCCAGCATCTTTCAAGAATATAACTTGAAGTACCGAATTTATTTTTTATTTAAACAAGCAAGACATCATTTTAGAAAGGGCTGGTGCTGTCAGCTACTGCCTTCCACCCCAGGTCCTCATCAGAGACCTCTGGCGGTACAGGCTGACAGGGGTTTTGTCACTCTCAGGAGGCCAAAAAAACCACCTAAAAATTCCTCTTCTCCTTCTTTTCTGCTATAATTTCATTCATCAAGGGCTTCAGGGGCTGAATGACTGAGCAGCACTTGGCTCTGGGGAGGGGAAACACCACCTTTTCCTGGGCTGCAGCCTGGGGTTGGATCATGGGGCAGGGAAGAACTTGGACACCCCTCCCAGGCAATGAAGGAGGGAGTGTGCAGCATGCAGGGAGCCATGTGAATTTTTAAAAAAAAAAAAAAAAAGCTATTTTCAGCTGGGAAGAGCAGAGCCTGCAGGGTGCTGGAGCTTCCCTCCTGCCCCCTCGAGGGGAGCCTGCCCACAGCAGCATTGCTGGGGCTCTGGGGGCGTGCAGGAGCGAGCCAGGCCTCGTGGCTGGGGCAGACGGACACATGGACGCTGGGATTTCTGCTGGGCAGCTGTTTCTCCTAGCCACAGAAAGCTTCAGAGCAATTAGAGCTCAGGCACTTAACGAGCAGGCAGCAGAACAGAACTAATCACGCAGGAAGCCAGCTCGGCCTGCCAGTAAATCAGAGGAACTGCAGATTTATTGGGTCTGGTGGCCCTGGCTCTTTCTCACGGGCAGGGAATGGCTTCTTTACCTTTTTTTTTACCCTTTACCTGTCGGTGCTGCTGGCCTGGGTTTCCTCCTGCTCTCAGAACTGGTGTCACAGCGTGAGTGCCAGGCTCTGAAAACAGGGGGGACAGAGCAGCAGGGAGAGGAGCAGCACGTCAGGCACTGCTGGAGCTTGGCTGCACAGCTGCAGCCAGAGGGGCCCCAGGAGTCACCCCTGATCCTGTCCCCCTGTGGTGGCAGGAAAATCTCAGTGGGACACGGCTCGGAGCCTGCAGAACTGCTCCCACACCTCCCCACCTGGGGATAGCGAGGCAGGAATCCACAGCAGTGCCCCAGGGAGAGGAAACCACGAGCTGAAGGGCCAGGCCAGCCTCCACATCCCCTGTGCTCCTTCCCCACACCAGCCCTGGGCACTGCAGCCAGCGGGAAGAGAGCATCCCCACATCCCAAACTGCACGGGGACAGGCAGGTGAGGCCGGGCAGGGCTGAACAGCTGGAAAAACTCGTTGAACCCAAAGCAAAAACCAGCTTGGCTCAGCCCTGGATGCTGTAAGGAGGGCTTTTGCCATCCACAGCCAGATGCTGCTGGTTTCACAGCAAAGAAATACAATGAAAATCATACCTGAGCATTAGCAAGGGGGAGGGGAGCTACCAAAACCCAGCACAGGTTATGGGACTCCCCAGCCACAGAAACCAGAGCTGAGCCAACGAGGTCATGAGCAGGAAATCCCTCCTCATGTTTACATCCAGATTGTTTTATTGCTCTGCATCACTCAACCTGGTTCCAACCCAGGGCAGGCTCGGGGGACTCAGGGCTGCTCTGTCACCAGCACTTGGTGAGGAGCAGCACGATGCAGGACCAGCAAAAGCTCTTTTTTTTCTGCTCACTTGTGACTAGAGACAGGTTTCTACAGAGCCTTGCTGTAAAGAGCAGCGATGCTTGGTATGGTCTTGGTCACTTGTGGGTTTTTTGGGTGTTTGCCAGCTGCTAAACTGGCGTGGAAAGTGGCACCCAAGCTGGCAGCAGCAGCGTGTGCCCAGCAGCTCTCCTTGCTGTCCTGCTGCTGCGTTTCTTGTTCCGAGCAGGCGGTGAGATTCCTCGGGCAAGGGCAGGCAGGACAAACAACAGCCACGTTATGGAAACTCTCATCATCCCTGCGGCCTTGGCTGCTGGGGGAGCATCCCTGGCTGCAGCTGGGGCTGGGCTGCTGCAGCTCCTCTGGGCCTCCTGAGGCCGTGCCAGAGGCCACGAGCTCTGAGGTGGCGCTGGCTGAGAGCTCCACCTCTGCCTTTATCAGGGGAGGTTTGTTTGCTGCCCCGTGTCGTTCGCTCGGGCTGGAGATGTTCTCTGGTGGCTTTCAGGCTGCCTTTCAGCTGGCAGAGCAATTCGGGAGTTGCTGCAGTGGCTTTTGGAGTGCCTGGGAAATGCATTCTGGAGAGGCTGCCAGCCCAGGTCAAGCAGCTCTTTCCCAAGAGGAGCATGAGCATCACTCAGCTCCTGCAAGGGCAAGGCCTGCCCCTCTGTGTGCCTTCCAGGAGCCAGGAGAGCACCATAATTCACAATTCACAGTTCACCTGGCTCATTCCTCAGGCTGGCACGTGATTAGGGCTAATATCCCCTGAGAATATCCCCCAAGAACATCCCGTTCCCCTAAGAGCAGCATATTTGAATGGCACGCCTTTGGGTTCTTCTTTCCCTGGCTGTTTACTGTATTTCTGGTGACAAAAACCCTAGGAAAAGGACTTAGCAAAGCTCCCGTGTGGCCCTGGAGTGTGACACTGCTGCTTTCCTGGGCGGTCACCTCATCCTGGCAGCCCCTGCCTCGCCCTCTGCAGGATTCCAGCGGGGTGCTCACCTGCCCTACGTGAATTAGATGAGCAAATTCCTCGGGGCCGAGCTATGAAAACACCTCCAGCATCCCTCAGTCCAGCTGACAGCCCGTGCTGGAGGTGTTTTCAGCCTGGTGCCTTCCTTGCTGCCCTGGGAAGAGTCCCTGTGACTTGTGACCTCCTTGGCTGGGAGCTCTCAGCCAGCAGCCAGAGATTGTTCCTGCCTCGGGATTTATGCCCCTCAGATGTTACCAGAAAGTTCCTGACTCATCCCGGCCAGCAGCACTGCCAGCTCCCCTCTGCTCTGCCTCCCAAGTTCAGGCAGAGCACGGCAGCTCTGCTGACCCCAAGCACCTGGGGACACTGGGGTGGCTTTGCAGGGAGGTGGGAAGCTGCTGTGACCCCGAGGGAGCGGGAGCAGCAGCATTTCCAGAGGTAACAAGCTCCTGGGATCCTGGCAGGATCCTACTTGGCACCTCTGGAGGAATCTGGGAGGTCCAGGAGTGAAAACACTGCCGCACAGGTGGATTCTGATCCCTGTGGGGTGAAGGATCCCTGCAGTAGCCAGATCCCAGCCTGCCATTCCTCTACTCCTCCCTGTCCTCGGCTGAGCAGGGTGGAAGCTCAGAGCCATCTCCCAGTGCTTGTCCCCAGCAGAGAAGAGCAGCCACGGCCTCAGTGCCACCTCCAAGACCCCTTGGCTTGGGAAGTGGGGTCCTTCCACATGGATACCCACAGGGCCAAGAAAAGCAATTTTGGCTGCTTTAATTAACGAGTCCCTGCTCACCAGTGCCAGATCCCACTGTTTCTGCAGACAGGCACGGAATGTTTGTGTCCTCCCCACTCCTGATGAGTTCATTGCAGCTGGGGTGAGCTCCTGCTCTGCCCAGGGCTGGGCCTGGGATGCTCTGGGGGGTGTAAATAAATGAACACATGGAATAAAAATGCCTCCCCATGCCACGCAGTGCTGGCACACTCTTTTCCCTCATCGCAGCCACACTGAGGGGGCCAGTGCTGGACCCAGCCCTAGAAAGGGGGGGGAAAGCCCCAGCAGTCAGCTGGTGGGGACAGAGGGAGAAATGACTCATCTCCATGCTAAGAAATGGAGACAAACGAATGAATGCACAAGGAGATGGGGGGAGAGGAGAAAGAGGCGTCTTGTGTTATCCCTCCCAGCTGCACAGGGGCTGCTCTGAGAGGGAGGGGAGCTTCTTCCCCTGATGCTGGGGGTGATGGGAGTATCCCAAACTGGGGGGAAACCGGGGCTGACTTATGCCAGGACAACCAGTCTGGTTGGAACCTCACCTCTAGGTACACAGCTGTATTTCCCCTCTTTTAGATGGCTCTCACCATTTTAAAACTTATTTCCAGCTTAATTCCCGAGCTCTTCGGCGCTCTCCCAGCTCGCCCCGAGGACTGCCCTGTCACTAACGTTCCTTTGTCTCGCTCCTAGGACTGGGCCATGGCTCCCCAGAGTCACCCCTCATCCCCATCCGCCCCCCCTTGCTCTGGGGGGGTGTCCCAGCGAAGCCGGACCCCAGGGATGTCCCCACGCCGGCTCCAGGCCAGCCCGAGCTGCCCTCCTCCGGAGACAGGACACCCTCCAGGCCCCTGCAGGGGGACGGCCACAACGCCAGCAGCCCGGCGGCAGCAGTGTCCCCTGGCCCTGTCCCCGTGAGCCCCACAGCAGAGGGTCCCTGGATGTCGCCCGCCCCGGCTCCCCGGACAGCGCACGCCGCCAGCCCGGCAGGAAGCACCACGGGTGAGGGGGCAGCCGCCAGCCCCTCAGCCCCGGCTGTGCCATCGCCGCCCTCCTCCCGTGCCAGCAGCCACAGCAGCCAGCCCACCTGGGCCCCCGGCACGGGCCTGGCCCCCACGCCCGGCCTCGTCAGCCCGGCCGCCACCCGGCCGCCGCTGCTGCCCAAGGATGTCCCCTCCCTGGGGACACCGGCCGTGGCATCCAGCCTGGCCGTGGAGCCGACGTCCCCCCCAGTGACTGTGCCGAGCCCCACGGAGGCCGAGGCCACGGCCTCGCAGGAAAGCACGGGGGTGACCGTGGAGGAGGTGCCGCGCGCCCTGAGCGCAGGTGAGCTCCTCTGCCCGCCCGTGCCAGCCCCGGGCTGCTCACACGGCGGGGCCAGAGCCCCCACGGGCAAGGGGAGAGCTGCTCAGCTTCCTGAGAGCGCCACTGCAGAATTCCTGCAGGAGCCCCTGCCACCCGGTGCACCGGCAGAGCCGGGAGTGGCGGATAACAAATCCCGGTTGCCTGGAGATGGGGATGAAATCCTCAGCTCTAAATTTGACTTGAAACACTTGAGGATGAGAGGAAACAATCGGCTGGATGGTGGGTGCAGCCCGAGTTAGGATGGTGTAGGGTGAATTTTCCCTCAGGAAGCTGACACGAGCTTCTCCCTGTCCCCTTGTGCAAGCTTAGAAGTGCTGCCCGTGGCTGGAAAAGGGGAGATCTGGAGCATTTCCTAGCCCTGGCTCAGCCCTGAACGCTGCCTGGTGCTGGGAGCAGCACCAGAGAGCGAGTGCACAGTGCCCAAGCTGTGCCTCATCCTACAAATACCTGCTCTGCTTTTATGGGAAGGGGATCCTTGCCGAGATAGAGGGGCGTCCCCTTTGGGAAGCAGCGAGGGAACACTCCCCCCGTCAGAGACGGCTGGTGTGGGTGAGCCGGGAGCGGCTGGGCTGGGGGATGTGTGCCAGGGAGCTGGGGCTCCGGGGGCCGAGCCCTGACCCTGCCCCTTTCTGGTGTGTTTGGTGCCCAGGGAGCATCGTGGCCATAACCGTGACGGTCATCGTGGTGGTGGTGCTGGTGTTCGGGGCAGCCGCCTACCTCAAGATCAGGTAAGGCCGCTTTTGGGGCGGCCCCCCTCCCTGCAGCCCCTCTCAGCGGCGCCAGGATGATGCCAGGTGCCGGGAAGACGCCGTCCCCAGGCGTGGCAGGGCAATGTGCAGCCTCTGGTGCCAGCAGGGCTGCGTTTCTCACCCCTCCTGTACTGGAAAGCAGAGCTCGCATCCCTCGTTTTGCAACAGCCCTGCTCAAATGCCAGGGATGCTGCTCAGCATAGTCATACCCAGTAGTTATCCCTTGGGAAAGCTGCTGCTGTGGGTCTCGCTGTCACTGGGACAATAAACAGCAGCAGAGCCCAGGGCTGAGCATCCCTAATGAGCCTTTGCTGACAGCCGAGATGGGCCAAGGGCTGCTTTTAATTCCCTGTGTCCAGGCTCATTCAACGGGGGCAAAATTCAATCTGGGCTTCACTTCTCCTGGTCCTTCCTCTTAAAATACCCCAAAGCTTGACCTAGGGAGCCCTTGTGTTAATATTTCTTCATCCCATGGCCAGGGAAGTAATAAATCCTCAAAGTGACCTCAGGTTTGCTCTCCCTGGCAGGCACTCCTCCTACGGAAGGCTTTTGGACGACCACGACTACGGCTCCTGGGGCAACTACAACAACCCTCTCTACGATGATTCCTAGCAGGGATGGAGCCAAAAACCCCAAAAACCCTTAATTTATAAGCGCTTCTGCAGCAGAGCATCCGCTGTCGAGGAGATGCCGGGCACGGAGCCCCTGCCTCAGGCAGGATTCCCACGGGTCTGGTGGATGGCAGGAACTGGAGGGCAGCGCTGACAATAAACTTGAATTTTGGCCTTTGAGCAGGAAACCAGGTCCTGGGGCAGGTCAGCCACTTGTTGTAGACAAGGGAAGCCAAATTCCCCAGGGGGAAAGGCTGGGGAGGGCAAGGGAGAGGATGGAGGTTCAGCCAGGGCTGTGGCATCCTCTGAAATGCTGCTGCTCTGAGATTTGGGGGGGAGTGGGGGGCTGCTGAGCCAGAGCCAGCAGTGTGCCGGGGTCTCCTGTGCTTTCACATATCCCTTTCCCTGAAATCACTTCCCTGTGTTGCCCTGCTACGAAATCCTTTGCCTTGTCTCCTCAGGAACCATGAACAGCTACGGGGCTGCTCAGTCACTGCTCCCTTTCTTTTCCTGCAGGTGCTTCCATGCACAAGTTCCTAATTTAATTTTTTCCATTTAATTGTGGGGGTTTTGGTCCCAAAAAGCAGCCCAGGAGTCCACAGGAAGATGCACTGACCATCCATTTCACACACGTGGCTGCTTGCTCCACAGCTTTGTTTCCATTCCTCAAAAAAACTTGGCTGCTAAAATACAGCGGAGTGTTCTTTTCATCCCCAATTTGTGTTCAGCTTTCAGTGTGGGAAGGCTGGGGGTGGCTGATGGCAGAGCTGGTTTGGGAAGGGGATGCTCAGCTGCTTCTCCCTCTGGCTAAATTCCCTGGCAGCGGAAAGCAAAGCCCTCAGTCCTTGGTGAAAACAGGTAAATAAACCTGTGGATGGTTGTTGCACCTCGCAGCCACAGCCAGCCTGGAAAACTGTTGGGGCTGGGAGCATACACAGGAAAGCACAGGCCCTGAAGATGCTTAGGATGAGCAAAATTCCTTTCCACCTTTTTGGCACCTGAGAAGCAGCAAATTAGGCTACCTTGGCTAAGAAAAGCCACAGAGTTAAAAAACCACCACCCTTCTTCTCTGAAAATAAACTGGATGTTGTGCTGCTGCTGCCAAACTGAGGGAATAAAGGGAGAGGAAAAGCCATCACCATCAATTAAAAGTATATAACCCCCAAGGGAATAAATTCCTTTTTCATGAAGGAGGACAGAAATGGGGCCTCAGTTTTCCTGCTCAACCCTGTGCCTGGATCCTCAAAATGAACTACTCTCTCTTGCCCTACAACGCAAGGAAGAAGCTGTACATATTTTTGGGGACACCCTGGGGTGAAAACAGATTCCTCACCTCTCTGGGACCAGACACCATCTCCAGGGCCATGGATGGTATGGACACAGACGATGGGTTTCCACCTGCAGGATTGTTTGGCAGCACGGGGCAGCCTAGGGAACACCAGATGTGTTTGGCAAGTGGAAAAGGCACTTCATTCTGGGGACAATGCCCTCAGAGGGAGGATGCCTGTGTTCCAGGCAATGCCTTCAAACACCCCTCTCACATTCCCATCTCAGACCCCCTGGCTTATTGTAGGGTTGCTGTCCCACACCAGTACAGCAGGGAAAAGGGGGAAAAGCAACCAGGACGTGCCCTAAAAAAAAATACCCCTTTTCCTTCTCTTTTAAAAACCAGCGGGGTTAACCCTGCTACCAACTCGTTTCATTTGCAAAACCAGCCAATTCCCATTTTTCCCAAAGGCTCCCACGACTCTGGCTCAATTCCACCTCCTCCCAACTCCCTCGCCTCCCTCCCCCCGCCCCCCCTTTGGCTCCGTTTCATCTCAGAGATATTTTATTTATACAGAAAGAGAAATAGCTGGCATAGCTCCGTGCGTGTGGAACCACAGATCCGCCGGCTGGAAGCTTTATCCCGGCTTCCAGACTCCCTCTGGCCTCCCCAGTGATGCTCTTGTTTGGTGAATATTCCCATCACCATCCACCTTTCCAAGCACGGAGCTACTGCAGTGAGTAGCTGCTGGTTGCAGCCTTTGGCACAGGTGCCAGAAGCCAACTCCAGCCGGGACCACGAAGGAGCAAATCCAAGGAAACCACCCCGTTTCCAGCACGGAGGTCCCAGCACAGCCCTGGGCTGAGCTCTGCAGAGGCAGATGCCTGGCTGCCCCTCTGAGGCACAAACAGCACAACACCAGGAGCCTCTCCCTCGCTTCCAGCTGGAAATTTAAAAACAGATGGTTTCCCTGCAGCCAGGCAGGGGCGAGACAGCCCCAGGAGGGGGCGGCTGAACCGGAGGTTTGACACAGAACACCCCCACTTCCTTCCCGAACAACGCCATTGGAGCAAGGAAAAACCACACCAGAGCACCAAACCAGCCCGAAACTGGGGGTCCCTCCAGCCCTGCACTGTTCCTCTTGCTGCCCCCCTGATCCCTCTCTCGTGTTCTGCAGAGCTCTGCCTGTATTTATAGCTCCGTGACCTCGTGTGCGGCCCCCCCGCCTGCTGGAACTCCACTTTTTTTCCCACAAAGCACCATCTGCTCCTGATTCTGGCCTGGAGGGGTGAGCAAGGCAGGATTCTGGGTGCCAGGGAGCGAGGGAGCTTCCCTACAGCTCCAACAGCCCAAGGCTGATCCATGCCTGGATCATCTCAGTGTCTGATGCCAGCATCCTCCCCGCTCCCCTCGCCTGCACCTCCATGGACAGGGCAGCAAAACTCCATACAGCACCTCCCACCCCAGAAAGCAGCTCCTCTCCTGTCTGGATCCCCCCTCCATTGCCCTTTATCCCCTGAAAATGCCATTCCTTTTCCTGCCCTGCCATTTATTCCCTGGCAAAGGGAGTTAAGGGCTTGGTGCCAAGATAAACACACCAAACAGCGGTTCAGCATTCCTATTCCCTCGTGCACTTTCCAGAGCCAAACACCAAAAACAGGAGAGCAAAAGGTCAAAACCACCTGGATCCTGTACCACCAGTAATTTTCCTTCCCAACACCAAAGCTCAGCCCAACTAAGAATTTTCTTTCAGCCTCCTCTTGTGGCTGGAACCCAAAGAAGAATATTTCCAACTAGCAATTGGAATAAAATTAGCTTTCCATTTAACAGTGAACCTGCTCAGTTGTGGACTTGACCAGTCCACAAGCTATTTGGCCAGAGTTTTCTGGGATGAGAACTCCTGCAGGCTGGTGGGAGCTCCACTGGCACTTCCAGGCTTACCTGGGAGCAGGTCTCCATCCAGGGAAGGAGGTGGAGTCACCAGGTGCCAACCAAAGCAGCAGGGAGTCTTGCTTGTACCACAGAACAGAAATATGAAAACACAGGAGCTCGTAAAAAATAAAGCACTTATTTTCCTAACAGTGTCTCGGGCCTCACACCTCCCCACATCCAACCATTTTTCAGCACTGAATCATGGTTTAAACTCAGCTGGGAATTTCCAGGGAGTACGTGTGTGAAAGAAGAGCACATCACGCATAGTGTCGTTTATTTTAATAGAGACCTTATTTTACATTTATTTATAGCAATGAGAAAAGTGCTCCAGAAAAAGATACCCCAGTCAAGGCAAGCTACTGTAGCCACCATCCAAATCCGAAATATTCCCTACAAAAAACGGGCACTGTTGGATTAAGAAAAGCTTATTTTAGAACAGAACAAGTTAAAAATGAGTAATCATAACCTGAAGATCTTGGAACTGATCCTTTTTTACACCTTATTACTGTAAAGTATCTGTATGTGAAATTCACAGAAATCAAGGACTTCCTGCAATATTTAAGACTGCAAAACACCTCAGGCAGGATGTTACATGAAAGAGCTGGGGAGGAGTTGGGGTTTTTGCTCCTTTCAAAAGGCAGTGGTTCACCTCCCCACTGAAGTTCTACCATGAACAAACACCAAAATCACAGAAAATTGGACCCTGGACTGCTTTATTTCTGTGAACATCCCAGGCTCAGCCTGATGTGAAGGATGTGCTTCACTTTGGGTGCCTAACCAGCAAAATCCAGCTATGGACGAGTCCCAAACCCTCACTACCTCGGCCTCTGCCAGTGGACAGTGGAAAATGAGGCAGAAACAGGGGAAAAAGCGACAGCAGCAGGTCAGGGTGGGCATCCAGGGGAAAAAGGGGGGCTTTGCACCTGGATCTTCCAGCTGCCCATGCCAGCAGGCAGGGCAGTTCCCTTGTTTCAAGGGAATTCTGTACACACAGGTCACAACGCGTGAAGGGGGCTGAGGGTGCCACCCCTGCCCGCTGTCCCTGTGGGCACACATCATTCCCAGGGGGCACACACATCCTCACACAGAGCCCTGTGGATACCAGCCCCAGCCCCAAAGGCCTCTCAAAGCCACCCGTTTTCCCCCAGAGCTGCACCTCCACCTCCTTCCCCTTCGGCTGCCCCAAAACTCCTCCTGCCGCTGTGTCGGCCGCTCGCCACATCTCCTGGTGCTGCTCCTCTCACCTGCCTCCTCCCTGCCGCAGTCAGGGGCTCCTTGGACTCGGAATACTGGAGTTTCTACTGGCACAAGAGCTGCTCTGCTCACACGAGTCTCTCGCAGGGCCCGGCGCCGCGCGTGCCGCGGTCACTGCTCCTCCAAGGACAGCCGGCACCGCCCGTCCTGCGCCGTGTTGTAGGACGCACAGCTCTGGCACTTCATGCCCAGCAGGTGGAACTGCACCGTGGAGCGGGCATTGCAGTCGTTGCAGAGGATCTGCAGCACACAGGGAGGGAGAGGCTGCAGCCCCAGCGGTGGGTGTACACAAACAGGAAGGATGGACACCCTACGCGTGACTGCTCCTCAGCATTCCCCACCCCTGGGTCTGGCTCCTGACCCAGCACGAGTCCCTAGTGCCCTCTACTGCCAGCAAGGCCGAGGCACAGCTGCATGGCAGCCAGGCAAGGCGGCGAGGCTGCCCTCTTACCTCCACCATCATGTTCTGGTACTCGCTGGGCATGGGAGTCTGCGCCACTTCGGTGTCCAGCTGGCGCCAGTACCTGGTCATGTCCAACGCCGAGTGCATGCACAGAGGACACCTGTAGCCTCTGGCACAAAGAGGGGGACACGTCTCAATCAGAAGATGAAGGCAGGCCATGAAACAAGTCCGTTGGTAGGGACAAGTTTCACACTGTACCAGGCAAACAAAGAGCACGAAGCAGCAAGTTCCAGCAAACAGAATCAAAATTAAATGCACTTTTTCCCTTTAAGTCACCCCTTCATCCCTTTAGGAGCTGTCTTTAAGTCAGTTGGTGCAGAATTGGTATTGTGATTTTTACCTCTCGAAACAGTATGTTTGGACTAGGGTAATACTGAAAGATGTTTGGAAATACTCACTCCTTCAGCATTTCGTCGTAACATGTCCTGGAAAGGAAACACAGGTCAGTAAGAAACACTGAATTACTGACAGGAACACACCTGCACAAAGGGAATAAGCAACACGGGTACGCCCAAGGCAGAAATTAAAAACATCCCTAGGCCAAGTGACAGGAGAGCTTCACACTGTCAAAGCCGACTGAGAAGGACGACAACCCCCCTAAAGAAAATACTTCCTGGAGAAACAGACTGTCCCCACAATGCAGGTCCCTCAGAAAGCAGCTGTAAGCAGCTGACACAGACTAAATGCTGCTGAATAAACACCCAACACAATGCAGCAGGTGCTTCCCTTGCTCAGGCGTCTGCTTTACCTGTGAAGAAGGTGACCACACGGCAGAACATGGGCTCCAACACGAGATGTGTGAATATCCTGTTTGGAGGCAAACACAAGAGAAAAGAGAAGAAAATTAATACACACAGAGTCAAAAGTAGGGCCACACAGTTATCCAGGAGATGAAAAGAAGCTGCTCACCTCCAAACATATTGGACAGTCCTGCCTGGAGACATTTTCAATACACTTTGAAAATGGAAAAAAAGAAGAAAATGTTATTCTGCTGTGTAGTTTTCTGTGTTTTTCTATATTGTAAAGCTCCAATAGGTAAAATTTCTTATGTCTTCAATCAGTGGCACTTGTGATGCTGTTAGGTGAATTTAGAGGAGAACTCACTGCTCTGCCAGTTCCTGTGGCCTCAGCATGGGGCTGAGGCACATCCAGTTCACCTTCAAGGCGTTACTTTTTAAGATACAGAGGCAAGCAGCGCATCCTCACCTTGTGCTTTCCTTGGAGACTCAGGCTGAGGCACAAGTTACACTTGGAGCAGTGGAAGAAATCCTCCTTGGGGCCAATCCTGCGGAGAGAGGTGTCAGGGCCGGGCCGGTGCCCGCGGAGCAGGGCCCGCCGCACGCACGCACCTGCAGATGCCGCACTCCTGGCAGTGGTACTGCTTCTTGTCACGGTCAAACAGGTGGCAGATGTCACAGTAGTACTCCCCAAAGAGGCTGCCACAGCCCTCGCAGCGCTGCTGGGCCTGAGGGGACAGGAAGAGCCTGAGTGCTGCGCCCGCCTCCGGGCTCCAAGAGGGGCCTGGAGCTCCTGGAGCACGGCTGAGAGCTGAGAAGTGATCGGCAGGCTGAGTGAGGGAACTGGGGCTGCTCAGCCCCGATAAGGGATGGCTGAGGGGATCTAACCCGTGTCTGCGGGCATGTTCAAGGCACCAAGAGGATGGGATCAGCCTCTGCTCCGCGGTGCCCAGAAACAGGCCAAGAGGCAATGGGCACAAGCTGATGCACGGCCAGTTCCACTGAACAGGAGGAAGAGCTTCCTCCCTGCGGCCTGGAGCTGAGAGGCTGTGCAGTCTCCCTTACTGGAGATATTCCAGAGCTTCCTGGGCACAGCCCTGCGCCCTGTGACCACAGGACATACAGAGCTGGGAAGGGACCCAGGATGTTCACCACGTCCAAGGCTTTGCCTGGCACAGGAGAGCTCCGAGCATCCCGCCAGGTGTGTGATAGCCCTGCCCAAACGCCTCTTGCTCTCTGCCAGGATCGGGGCTGTGACCCCTTCCCCAGGGAGCCTGTGCCACTGCCTCACCACCCTCTGCGTCAAGAATTTTTCCTACCACCTCCTCCCTGAGCGGAGGGAGGCCACAACCCCGACAGGGAGCGGGGAGGCGGCACCGCATGGCCCAGCGCTGCCCGCATTCCGAGCCGCACCTTCTGCAGGAGCAGGCAGCGGACGCACTGCACCTCGGACACCCGGAACCGGTCCAGCTGGTGCTCCTCGGCGCCGTCGTGGCACAGCCGGCACGGGTACAGCTTCCCGCAGCACGGCGCCTGCGAACGGAAGGGCACGGCATGGAGCGGCCGCCGGCACGGCACGGCACGGCCCGGCACGGCACGGCACGGCCCGGCACGGCACGGCAGCCGCTCACCCACCCGCAGCCGGCAGCCCCGCCGGTAGTGCTCGCATCCCGGCTCGCATCCCGGCTCGCATCCCGGCTCGCCTCCCTGCGATGCCCCCGCCGTGGCCATGGCCGCCGCCGCCGCCCGGCCTCGCTCCACCCTTTCCGCTTCCTCGCAGCCGGTTCCGCAGGATTTGGAGGTTCCGGAATGGCTCCCCCGGCTGGCACGCTCCTGTTCCCCTTCCCGCTGGGCTCTGGTTCCGGTGGGGAGATCTGGAGGTGTCCCAGTCCGAGCTCCGTGCCGAGGAGCAGGTGACACAGGACCGCGTCCAGGCGGGCTGGGAATGCTTCCAGAGAGAGAACTCCACGACAAAATCACAGAGTGTGCCAGCTTGGAAGGGATCCATCAGGATCCTCGAGTCCAGCTCCTGATTCTGCGCAGGACACCCCACCAATCCCACCAGGTGCCTGGGAGCTTTGTCCGAGCACTCCTTGAGCTCAGTTGGTACCTTCCAGCTCAGGAGATTCTGCTCTTCAAGTTGAGGTGGAGCTCCTTGTGTTCTAGTTTCTGGCCGCTGCTCCTTGTCCTGTTGCTGGGCACACCAGAAATCTGGCGCCATCCTCTTGACACCCACCTGGGAGATGCTTGTATGGATTGATGAGGTTCCTGCTGTTTTCTCTAGACTGAGCAGGCCCAGCTCCCAGTCTGCCCTCCTGAGATAGAATGATGCAGACCCTTCATTATCTTCGGCCTCTGCTGGACCCTCCAGTGTCCTTGTCCTTGACCTGTGGAGCCCAGAACTGAACGCAGCACTCCAGATGTGGCCTCACTGGGGACACGCAGAGGACCACCTGCCTGGACCTGCTGGCCACTCTCTTCCCCATGCAAAACCTTCCTCTTAAACCTTTCTCTCCCCCACAAACCCAACCTTCCCCTAAAAACTTCCACTCTTCCTTCCCCAAACCTTTTCCCTCCCTGCATTTGCCCACGGCTATCTGACTGACTGCTGTGGCCAAGTGCAGCATCCACTGTGGGAACAGTCAAGCCTGGAATTGGAAGATCTTTTTATTTACAAATGAAATGTACACGTCAAGAGACAGCATAGAGACAAATCCCTAAATACAATGAGTTCAGACCACATTCTGTCATGATCCATTGATGGGAAAGGCTGTATTTTGTGCAAAAATAAGTTCCAAAGTTAACAACACCACGTGAGTTGTGACAGGTGATGGAGAAATGTGAGCAAGACAGGGACAGCCCAAAACTGACCACAGCAAACTAAGGGCAAGTAAGCAAAAATTGTTTCCAAACAGTCAGGTTTTACTGTCCCATTCTCCTAAGGAACCTAAAGGAACAATGACTTCAGTTACTGAGACATTCCATGTACCACCTGCATCACAGCTCAGTATTCCACAGGGGTATATTCCTTCCTTCACCATCAACAACAGCCAGACAACACACCCGGGGCAAACACCCCAAAGACAACTGCCCAAACGTGGGGTCAAAAATGTGAAGGGAAAAGGAACCTAAACCAAAGTGACAAGTGCATTAGTGAGGGTTTCAAAGGAACAGCTGCAGATTTGCACATTTAGATATTGTATTTCTTGCACAGACATCCTCTTCACTGTCAAGGCAAAGGTGCTTTTCAATCCAGATCAGGCAGCCCACTGAAATACGAGAATTTTGACGGCTGCTTTCATCACGATTCAGTGAAAAAACCCCTCAGGCGGGCAGCAGCTGGACAAAAGAAAGCCCAGCTTCCTTCAGAGTCCTCCAAAGCAGCTCCTGCCCCTGTCACACACCAATGACCACTACTCCTCTCAGACAAGACCTGGCCCTAAGCCAGAAAGTCAACGTTCCAGGGGCTTTTTGCATGCAAGAAATCCAGCAGCAATGGCAGTGCAAGCTCCATCCTTGGCCTGGACCCGAGCCACTTCTGTGGCAGTCTGCTGCACCAACAGGAGTAAGGGATCCTCCTCTCCCCTGCAGACACCTGGCAGCTTTAGCCCCTGGAAACTTAGATGGATTGTTCCCTCAGTTCAGTCACCTGCATCAAGAGGAGAAAAGGAGAATGACTCTGGACAGACTGACAAAACACAGAGGTGCTCCCTGGTGAAAGGCCTCCTTTATTTTGCTTTGTTACACATCCTTACCTTGCTGAAGCTGTGCACTTAACACCCGTGTGCTTCACAGATCAGAAAACTCGAGTTGTTTTTTCCCCTCCCCACATGCAGGCAGCCACCTTCCCCTTCTTTTGTTCTACCAGCTTGCTCAACCTCCCAATTTCATGAGCTGCTTCATTTCCAACCCCAGTGCCCAGCACTTCAGCTCAGGAAAATGATTTACCAGGCACAGCGAGCTGTGTACTGCCCTCAGTAAGAAATCTGTCACAGCTGCACGTCCTGACTAAACCATCCATTTGGAAGCCACCAGAAGGCTACACAGCAAAAACCTGAAGCCCCCAGCAGGCTACACAGCAGAAATGAAAGCCCACCTTTTACAGGCAGGTGTGACCATCTCCCCAGGGCTACTGCTCGACCCTGGGGAAGTTGGCTTCTGATGCATCTGGCATCAAGGTCCCTGACAGCTGTAAATTGGGAAAGAAAGAGACAGGATCAATTTCCAAGTGTAGCATCAACAGAGCAGACAATCAGAAGCAGCCTTCTAAAGACACATCATGCAATGCCAACACCTAATTCAAAACAAATCTGTTCTTTGGTCAAATCAGGCTTCAAAAATGCTCCCCCAGTGTAAGACTTACGACCCCGAGGCAAATTCTGCTCCTTCAGGAGTCAAACTGGAATTCTGTGAGCCATGCTGTTGAGAAAGTCACAAACCAAACAAATACAGAGCAGCACAAACCACTTTATTGCCTTGCTACCTGCTGTGAAGGCAGACTTGAGTTATGAAGGTCGATACCAGCGAGGGAGGGGACTTGGGACTCTGCAAACGTTCTATTTTCCTTCTTCAGAAATTTGAGATGCCGAGCTGCAAAACACAACCAAGGCAAGCCATGTTTAGGGAGTGAGAGCTGACACACTGCTTCCTGACACTTGTTTGGAACCCAGGTTGTATTTAGAGGACCTCAAAGTTCCTACCTTCCGCTCCCCTCAGCTCGGGGAGATGATTTAGTTCTGGCAAACGCACATCTGTCTTGTGGAATTCCCATTTTTTCTTACTTGCCTGAAGGATGGGTTTTTCATTAGTAACCTGTAGTCAAGAGCATAAGGAAGAGCTCATGAAAATACAGAAAAAAAATAAAGCTATTTTCAAGCTTAAAAAAACCCAGTAAAACAGCAATGATCTGATGTAGTTGGAATCTGTCCAAAAGTGAGACAAAAGCCTCTGATGTGTGTGAAGGAATTCAACCTGCTCAAGTGCTATTTATACACAAGCAATGGAAAAGCACCAGCAAAATAAAAACAATCATCTAAGTGAGGCTGCTTTCACACAGATAAAATACAGCACTTGGAGAATGGCTGGGACTAGTTATCTGGAAAAAGGCAAATGTTCCTGGCTGGCACAGTAGTCATCATGCCTAGGCAGTGAGACCAGAGGAAAACTTTCCATTTCACTTGTTTCCCTTATCAATTTTTAATGCAGTTATGACATGACTAAGTAAAGCCCTGGCCACATTAAATGCAAACCCTCAGTTCTGCTTCAGTAGCACAGCACACATGGTCTATTGCTCCTGGCCAGGCAGGAGGCCATGGATAAATTCCAAATCTCACAGATATCCTGTGCTGGACTGCTCCCCTCATTTAAAATTGCTTTCTGACATAAAATGTATTGTATCTAAGAACTGTTAGCAAGGGATAATGAACGAAAAGTCTGCAGGGAAAAAGGGGTAACAAACCAAGTATTTCCAGTGGGGAGTCATGGTGAAAGATGGACCAGATGGAGTTCTTGAGAACACAACACACAACTGAATTCATTTTTGCTTGGCCAAGGGGGACAGACAGACAGACCACTCACCGGTGTCAAGCTGACATTGCATCGCCCCACTGGAGAAGGCTTCCGTGCCTTTAGCAAGGGGTTCAAGTATTTTTTACTCTTTTCATCAAGTCTGTAATCAGAAATGTCCCACAGTTGGTATTAGCTGGGCTGACACAGCCAATTCAAAGCAACAAATGCAAGGTGTGCCAAACCCCACGTCTTGTGCTCCCACATTGTCACCCTGCCCCTCCCAGGACATCCCAGGAATGATGGATACCAGCTCCCCCAGCTCTATTCCCTTACCTGTAATTCAGGCTCCCAGGCCCAGACCCCATCCCAAACGTAGGAGAGAAGTTCTGGGTGATGGGAGGGATAAATGTGCCCAAGCTCTTGGCGTAGTCCAGGCTGCTGCTGGAATCTTTCAGGTTGGTCTGAGGGCTGAATTTAAATGGGTAGATTGTGTTGTCATAAAGGAAGCTCAGCTTGGAGGATCGATCTGCTTTCTCTGCATCAGCTTTAGAAGGCTTGCTCTTTATCTGCTTTCCATCTTTGCTCCTTGGGCCCATGCTGAAATCCTGTTTGGGAACATAAACATCATCTTTCTTTACAGTCACTGTTAAAAGAGCAGTTTACATCAGTGCATGCAGGAAAAAAAAAATGTCAGAAGCCTACACGTGCATGATTCTGCAAGAATCTAATGGAGAAGGAATTGGTTTTGTCAGAAAATCTCTGCTTTCCATCAAACAGGAGAAAATTTGTCAGGGTTCCAGCACTCTCTGTAAATAAGTCACTTGAGACTGGAATCAGAAATGATGGAGGAAAACCAGCTGCATCCTGTGTCTCTTCCGAAGAAATGAAATAAAAACTCATCTCAATGTCACCTCAAAGTCACTCTGAAACATCCTTGCTATCCAGTTGAAAGGAAAATTTTAAATTTTGATGACAGGGCTTTAAAACAGGTTAAGCGCAGCATAAAGCATGACTTATCCTTCCCAAGTGATTCCCCCTCCAGCTCTGTATTGCCAGGAACTGCACCACTGTGTGTGGTTCACCTGCAAGGGACTGGCCCAAGAGCCCCCTGCACACTCCCCAGCTATTTCCTAGGAATTTAAACTGCTGCACCTATTTTAAAAACAATGATTTTAAAACATGAGAAAAAACCCCAAACAATACAGGTTTGGAAAACACAGATGGACCAACCTGGACGCTGATGGTTTTTCTTTCTTCTAAAACGTCCCTTTTACTGATTT